AACACACACTAAACACTTCACAAAATCACTTGCACTGAGTCCCGCACTTTGTATTTTCACTGTTCACACGCGGCGCCGGTTTTTTGCGCTCACTAGGACTCCGATGTTAACGAATTTTAACTACGCGACGCGTGACTACCCGCTCGACGCGCGGTCGCGGAACGACTGACTCCCCACTGAAAATGGCAGGGGGTTGGAGTCGGCGCTCGAGTGGGGAGGGGGGTCCCCCTCCGATACTCCCCGCATGCGCACAGAACACTTCCCATGCGCACAGAACACCCTGCATGCGCACAGAAGACCGCTCGAGTGGGGGTCGCCAGGCGATACTCCGTCCATACGCACGCACACCGTCCATGCGCACGGACCACCGCGGCAGTCTCAAGTTGACGAGATACGATAATTGCGAAAATTCTTAACCTAATAAATAATTCTCTTTTAAATAAACAGTGCAATCACATAAAATCCAATAGTCAGTGAAAAATAATTGATTGAAGAGAATTTAGCGTGTGGATTTTGGTCCTGACCTTCAAAAACACTTCGATTGGATCTCTGAAACGGGAATGGGAGTAGCAGATACATTGAATTATGTTCTGCTTTCTAATCCCGTCAGCTCGAGTGCCGGTTCGTCTGCGAAAACTGCTGCATCAGCTGTAAGTTGCTGTTATTTTTTAATAATAAATAAGAGGAATCAATTTATTTATTGTTATTGCCTGATTTTTGGAGACTGGGTAATGCTTCTATAATTTATTCTATTTTTGAAACTTTGAGGTCATGTAGATACCACACATCCCATAAACCAAGGTCATATTTTATATTTTTTCCTGCTTTTTTCAATTGTCATTTTTTAAATAGTCCCACCAGTGCCGAACAGCTGCAGAGTGGGGATGAAATGGAGATGAGGGGAAGGTGATAGTGACCGCCGCGCTGTCTCGTGCCGCCTGAGAGAACTTGTCCCCTGTTTTTGGCTTGACAATACAAGTTAAATTTATTACAGGTTAAATGTGTTCTTCGAGTCAAATTGTCAGAAGATAAGTATTATTTTTATTCTTATAATATTTAAAAATACGATATGAGAATGTGAATTCATTCCTCCCCAAAGGAGATTTCTATGCTTTGTGTTTTTTATTTTTCCTAGACTGGCTACCCTGATTTGACATGTATTTATTTATTATTATTATTATCATTATATCACTGCTGAGCTGACGCTTTTCATAACCCTGAAAACGAGTGCCAGTCTTTAAAAATAATAAATCATTTTTTTTATTGAAATTTAGAAATCATTTCGAATCCTGGAATAATCTGAATTCTCTGGAATTATTTTCAACTTCAAAAATGGTGAAAATCGCTTTGAAGATCAGAGCAAATCTTGAGAATATCCAGGAGTTGAGACCCTGTGGTGCAGATTTTCGATGGTGTTTGAAATTCACGTGTTCAAATTGCGGAGAAAAATCCGACAAGTGGAACTACATTTCCCTGAGCGACGAAATAACAGCTGATCATGGACGAGACGTTATTAATTTCTCCTGCAAGTGTAAATTATGCTCTCGGGTGAACACCATGACGATCATGGGGGATTCGTTGGGATTTTATGATGTGGACGACCAGGGGAAGCTGAAGAAAATAGTGATTTTTGATTGCAGAGGTCTGGAGCCCTCGGATTTTTCACCTAGGGAGGGCTGGATTGCAAAAGCTATCGACGATGGAAAAGAATTCAGAGATGTGGATTTGAGTGAAGGAGAGTGGGCGGATTATTGTGATAAGATTAAACAACCAGTGGGGATTTATGATATTGAACACAATTTTGAGAGGATCAAGTGAAGGAACTGATGATTATGGGAACTAAATGTTCCGTGATATTTTTTTGTTAACAACGACATAATATAATTTATTAATCATTAATCATATACAAAAGAAACATTTTTAGGTAATTGGATAAATGGCACGAGGACAAATACAACGGATATTGTCATCGGCAATAATCAATGTTATCTCCGCCATTAAATCTCAAGTACCATTTTTTAATTATCATTATATCTACCCTGCACAGTCCATCGGATGACTAGAGACAAATCCGAGCAGGGGAACATTTTAAAAAATTGACAAATTATACGAATCAATCGATATCTTGGTTAAATCAATCTTTCTTCATTCCCTGGAATGTATTGAGTCAATCAACAAATCAACAAATGGCCGTCACATTTCATGAACAAAAATACAACTTATTGTATTAGCTAATTATGAAATTATCAAATGAATTATTTACAGTGCTCGAGTATTGAGAATAATGTCTAATTGTTTAATCAAGTAGATAAAGCTTTTCCTGCATTTTTCAAAAATTCATTCACTTATCATTAACTGACAATCACAAGGTTTTGAGAAAATATCCAGTGAGGGTAGCCTACGGTAAAAATTAAGTACTACATGATTTTTTCGTGAGTCTACAACTCGTTCATGTTTCATCTAACACTATATTTCATTTTCTAAATTTTCATCAACTAGTGGCTAGTTACTATCACCTAACGTTAAATAAATATCCAAAATGTGCGCAATGACGATTTTTGGAGATTAATGAGATTAATGATTTGAAAAAATGATGAATCACTAAAATCATCCGGTTAACTCTATCTCTTACTTCTTCAGTCGTATCACTATTCAGTCTATCCTCGAAAAATAATTGAAAGAACATTATAAATTCGTCATCTCCAAAGAATTCAATTCGAAGACAACGAAAATAAATAAAACATTTGAAAAATCATAAAAAATTAGAGAGCTATTAGATTTTCTCTATAAATAATCTACCACATTATAATTGACTAAACAACTGAATTTCCCTTGCGCCAGGATGTTCTACCCTTTCTCTAGCAATCATTGAAGTTATCCCCTTATAACTACATTATTATCTTTGGTATACGGTTGATGCTGGTTTATAAAATCGTCAGGTGTGAAGACTCTCCATCAATCACTGACAAAATCAAAGAATAATCAGCAGTATCTCTCGTAGGAACGATTGGCAACGTTACAGTGACGTGCACTTGAATAAACATCGAGTAATTGAAAAACAATTGATGTTGCAACACCTAGGGGATTCTTTTTTCTACTGCGGAAAAATATACAGTTGTGAGTCATTTGAAATAATTCACTCTGATATTGTGACAGAAAGTAACTCTGGGCCATATTCAATGGGATATTTTTACCTCTGGGGCATTATTATTGATTACAATTTTTCTCGCTCTTTGAATTAAAAACTACGCATTACGAATATGCATTTCTCTACTCTTGCATTTTTCCTAGATTTTTTTCTACCGTGAGATTTATCATTTTGATACTTAATTTAATCGTATAGTTTATTTTGTTTTATAAATGGAGTTCTAGCTAGTGGGAGTGGACACCCAAGAATAGGCCCTTTATTATAATTTCTAGTGATTTTAATTATCTATCGTGATGTTATTGAATTTATTCAGTAGCTCAAGTCCATAACTGAGAATCAATACCTCTTGATTTTTTTTTTCATTTCACTGCTGAATAATTTTTCCTATCAAGCAACTACTCTATTTTGATTGTGTAATCCAACGGAATAACAAATTAAATCGCCAGAAATTTTTCTGCAATTGTAGAAAATTCATAACTATTTCTACGCTCTGAAAAATTTATCCTTGATTACTAATCCATAATAATTAATTGATCCTTCATACGTAAGTTTATAAAATCAAGAAAAAAATCACCAGGAAAATTGTCCTCAAAATATCTTTCGTCTCTCATTCCCCATTCCATTGATCTTGAATATGTGTAGAGGCAGAAAAATATATTTGTCCCCCTGCAGAGGTATTAGTTGAGAAAAAAAAAATCTCTTACCACTTTAGTTTGTCCCCCTGACGTCGTAATGATTATTTCAATTCGACGATACAAAGTGAAAAATCTGGGGCAAAAAAAAAATACTCTGAATTATTTTTTGTCTGCTGTCAAGTGTTCAAGGCAACTCGTCATGGAGGATCGTCTCGTGGAGGCACGTCTGCTTGAGTGTCGCCGATTGATCCTCGAGGCTACGTTTGAGTCCCTCGATTGTATGCATCAGCATTTGTCTACGTAATTGAGTTAAATGATGCTGAATCATCTGGCTGTCTTGAGCATTCAAATTTGCATCAGCTGTCAATCTCTCCTGCCGTAGCTGCGCCACTTTTTCACGAAGTGATCTTCTCGAGTCATCTATCATAATTCCAAAGTAAGAAAAATCTTATCACTTCAAATATTCGAGACTCCACTATCGAAATAATTTGAATTGATGAAGATACCTGTATCGTCAGTGGCTGTATCCCCATCGGAATTTCTCAGGACCACATGCCTTTCCCCCAGAGTCTTTTGTATTCTCCCATACGTAGTACTACCGGCATAAACTTTTCTCTTGACTGGTTCACTCTGGGGACAGTAGTACGTGTTCTCCTTAACAGGTCCCATATCGACAGACCTGTTATAAAAATCAATGAAAAATTAATCACCACTCGAGAAAAAAAATCCCCAAGAAATCCTATTCACTGAATCTCATCGAGAATGATATATAAATCCTCATCCCGAATTATATATTATATTCCTGTACCTAAACGTCAATAAAGGTGCCCTCCTCCTGGCCTCCCCCCTATCCTCAGAATCTGAAGAGCTACTAGTGATTCCCTCCTCCTGCCTCATCCCCTTCTTCTTCCCAAATCCGTTTTTCACTGCAGCCGAGAAGAGTGGATCCTTCGGGAAATTCTCCACTCGTCCATCCTGACTGCACGACCTCACCCCATTGACCTCGACTCGGCACCTAGCCCTCTCTCGTCCCTCCTCCATCACCATCATCCTATTCGCCACGAATCCCCTGCTTGGTGATACCTGGGGGGTCCTCCTCCCCATAACCGGTGAATCCGGACACTTGAGAATCTCCTGCCTGTAACTATTCCTCTCCATAAACCGATGAACAGGTGATACCACCTGGAACTGCCTCTTAGGACTCGTGTGCTCAATATCCTTGATATTTCCACTCTGCAATTCTGGCTGTGAATTTCTGCTCTTCGATAGGGCAAGCTCGATATTTAATTCAGTATTCTTTATCAACTCAACTCTCTTGTTAGCAAGTCCATTATGAATTCTTCTGGAGGGAGATGGAATCACCGGTGATGATGCATTCTTCATATTGACGAGAATATTCTCAGCCTCCATTATTAATTCTCTGTATTTTCTATCTGCCTCTTTGTCTGCCTCAATTAGGGCCATCTCCGAGGCAAAAGTCGTCATGTAAGTGTTACCCGAGATTCTCTGCCTCACAACATTTCCATTTACGTAACTGATTGAGTTTGATCTCCTTTTGACGACTTCATTCTCGATCAATGTTGGATTTATGAAGTTTCTCGGATCATTCTGACGAATGGGCGAGAGATTCTCGTTGACGTCGTGGTGTTTCCTTCTGCGCAGGCAGATCGGTGTACCCCCGACACTTCTGCTCCCCTGATTGAAACCAGAATTCTTCAACAACATTCGTTCCACCAGCACTCGATTTAAATTCGCTGTGATATCATCACCCTTATCGAATATCGGTTTACGACGCTGGGACTGGCGTTTCTTTCGCTTCTCCAAGGGTTTATCATCGATTTTCTTGTGACGGAGACTCTGGCGTTTGGAGCTGCTCCTCAGGCTCGATCTGTGCTGCATCTCCTCTCGAGACCGACGTTTCAGGAAGGAATCACGCAGGCGAGTACTTCTCCGGGTTAATTCACTGGTGAATGTGAAATACGTGCAGTGACCGGTGTTGGGGAAATTGCCCTCGAGGTTCTCCAGGTCGAGGAAGCTGCCGTTATCGATGTAATCGAAATCGGAATTCTCGAAGGGATCGTTCTCGTCTCCACCGTCCTGACCTGTGTCTACGTCTGATGGTGAGTGGTTTACATAATCCTCGCAGTCCGTTGGATCACTATCTGATAAAATATCTGTTTCTTTTTCGTAGATGTAGGACTCGTCGAATTTACCCATCATCTCGTTGAGGGTAATATCATCCTCCGAAGATCTTATACTCTGGGTTATCGATGACGCCGAGGAACTAGAACTACTCCGACGGGTGAGACTCGTGTGTTTCGAACGATCCATTCCAGGGGAGATTCGCCAGTTTTGATTTATTCTGTAGACAATGAATTTTTTGAATTTTTATATCTAGTCATTAATTGCTAATTATAATTAATTAATTTCTCACTCTTTCGTACATTCTCTTGTATCATTATCATAAAATTTTTCTAAAGTTTCTCTCTGTATAAACCACGAAGAATATCTCATCGTAACTTGTCGCGTTCTTTTTCTCTTTGACTCGTAAAAAGAATTTTCCAAATAACGAGAGGATGAGGCGTCCACTCGGGGGATAGAAATTCACGAACATTGGAAACTCTGCAGACGCACGGTGCCTCGGTCTCGTGATTAAAACTTTTCCAAGTTAAGAAATAAAAGGAAAATTGAGGGTGGATGAAAAATAGAGGAGTTAAAATTCAATTGACGTGAATGCAGTGGAGTTTTCAGTGGATGAAACTGAATCGAATGATATCAAGAAACTAATACTAATTAAACGTAAAAGTTTTAGGTGTCAGGCTGACAAAAGTTGTTAATCTATTTTTATTGAATTTTCGTTGAAACTCACGGACTACGACCAGCACTGAGACTCTCCTGTCTGCACTCTCTTCTGGTTTGATTTGTCCGATGATTATTAACGTTAACATCACTGGCACTGCCTGAGGACTCGGTGAGCTTCAGTCCAGAACTGCTACTAGTTTCATTCAAAGTAAAACGATACTTGTAACCACTATTGCCACATCCAGTTGTACTCGAGTTGGATGAGTTGGCTGATAGCCATGGATTTGTACGTATTCGTGAGCGTTGTCTTGGTGATTGGATAGTGGGTGATGATACGAGTGGTGGTGGTATGGACGAAGGAATTGGCAAACTATTTCGTATCGTTATGTCTGCTGCTGAATACGACTCTGCTCTTCTGTGTACATGGGATGTATCACGATTTAGGGTCTGGGGGCTCTGCTGACACTGCTGGGACTTGTGGGGATGGCTGATTGCTGCCTCTGTACCCTGAAATTGAAAAAAAAAAAAAAATTGTGTTAAAGAAATCCCAATCCTTCGACTCATCAGTTATTTCAGACGTTCATGCCATTCATTTGATTTCAATTTTTTACATTTTCAGGACTCTCAGCACACCAGTTGGTGCTGCATCAAGTCCAGCAATTCGATTTACATATTAAACGAACTCTATCACTCATCGATATTCAATGGAACAGCCAGAACCTCGGGAAAATGAAAGAATAAAAATTGAAACAGGTAGTGACATTTTGTGCATGTCAATTTGATCGTTTGAAATTCGATTTTTAATGGATTTTGAAGGGTAGCTGAAACCTTGAAAAGCATCAAACATCGGTTAATGGGAATGGAGAAATAGAAGAGGTGAGGGAACTCTGGTGGACACCAACAAAAAGCTTCCTCAGCAGTTTTCAACTCTTTTTACACTCAAAAATGCATGCACCAGGGAACGTCGTGGGAGACTAGAAAAGAGATAGTGCCAGAGGTGAAAAGGAAAATCGAGGGGCGAAGTGACACGAAAAGCTTTGATGCCAGGAGCCGACCAACGGTATCTCTAAAAACAACATCATTGAATTTTTTTCAACTCCCGAGTGTTAAGAGATAAACTCGGGGTCATGAACTCTCACCAAAGGACATTAATCAACGATTGAATATCAGCATTAACGGTTTTATTCCAATTAACGATCTGTGAGCACTCGACACTCCTATTCCATCAAATAATATCTCAGGAGGTGAAAAGTCGTAATTAAAAAAGGAAAAGCTACTCTCTCGTTTATTCCACGAGGATTCATTAGTGAGTTGTTATTATTTTCCACTCCAGTGATATTTTTCAATACCTATTTTCCTTCTCACGTCGATTCATTCAATTATACTCTTCTAATTGGCACCATTTGCCGGATAATTTTGTGTTTATACTGAAAAATTAATGAATTCGTGTGAAGCACAAGTCGATTCAACCGACAAATTCATTAAATTCATTATGAAATATTTCTGAATCTACGAGAGCTATCAAAATTTCCGTAAAGAGCTTTTTTGTAGCTCTTGCTCGACACTACGAATGAGGGCCTATGAAAAATTTCGTTATTCCAATTAAATTCACGGGAATAATGAAAAATAGAATCTATAAAAAATTGTTCTCGGTGCAGATAGAGGAAATTGACAAGGAACTTTCATTGGGTGTTCCTGAATTTTTTATTGTACCTTGAATGGAGTACTCGTGTGAATCTCTCCCACCAGTGTATTTTCCCTCGTCATGGTGATGTTTCCGTTTACCCTGTTCTCAGTTGGCTCCTCCTGCTTCTCATTACCCGGACCGTTGGTCACGCTGCACTTGCCTCTCGTTCCCTTGTTACTTTGAAAATAATGCTTACCAGTTCTTATATTAATGTAGTACTCCGGTGGAAAACTAGCACCTGGCGATGTGCCGTCCGTTGAGTAACCAGTGCTGTATGCACTCTCTGGTGAAGAGAGATTAACACTACCGTTGCCACCGGAATTACCAGACGATGAGTTTGTCGTTGTGCCAACGTATGCCACGGTTTTACCCAGAATAATGCTGTCTACGTTTTTAGCTGGTGAATTCAATGGATGGACCTACAAAAGGAGAAGACTATTATTCTCGTTGTATTCCAACAACACCAATGAAACAATCTGAACTTTCAGTCAAAGGGAATCCCCTAATTGGGGGTCTAAACCGTATTCTTGATACAACAAAATCCTCTACAGGAAATCCTCTACTCAAGCTGTACAAATTTATGATTACAACATTATGGATCTTCAAAAGAAAATTTTCATCATTAGTGTCGAGGAGATTTGAATGAATTCTCTGGGTCCGATTCAACCAGAATTTTTTCTAAATCTCATTTATTATAAAAAAAATCCTTTTGAAAATTCATTGTGTGTCAAATATAATAATTCCCCTGGTATAATTTTTTTAAAATACCGTACATAAATATCTCTGGGCACTCCGGCAAGCTCTCATTATTCGACCCATCGAGGACTGAATATTAAACAGTAACACGACGGGTGAAAAAAGCCCAGTAAATATCCCCGACAGGCTCGTCTCCTGGGGTGAATATATGAGTCCAACATAAGACTCTCTAATGGAACAGTATTTTTTTCATTTTGTTGATTCAACGAATCCTTGGAAGCTCTTAAGAAGCTCTTCAAGCATCAATTCCCATATTTTTTTTCATTAGCGATAAACAAATGTTTCGAGAAGAAATTTCAAAGAGATTTCGAGGAGATTAATTATCATAAAATTGTGTGACGTGGGGATTAATTAAAAAATTGAAATGACAGTTTCAAATGGAATAGTCTGTCATTGATTTATTTGATCGGCACTCGTCTGGAGGAATTGAGGTACCTGATGAGGTGCTGGTGATCGATTGGCACTGTGACTCCCTGGGGAATTGCAATTTGATTCAAAGCCCTTGTCGCCCTTTTTTCGATCCTTTTTTTTCTTCGGTCGCACGATATGCGCCTCCATCCACGTGCGCAATTTCGTGCCGAACATGATTACGCTGACTCCAGTATAATAAAGCCCTCTCTTACTCTCGTACTCCAGTTATTTTCTCACAGTTTCATTCGCACAGTAATTATTTACAAACGAGAATGCTGAAGAATTTTCCTTCAATAGTTTTTACTTGTTTTTTTTTTTTTTGCAACTCTGCTTGTTCTCTTTTGTCCTTCCCTTTCACGGAATTTTATTCAGCTGGAAGTCGTTAGTATCCCACAGAGCTCGTCATTAACATACTAATCGCTGTACCTAGCTCTTAGTTAGCAGTGAATCCAAATACCGGGTGATACACCTTGGCAGATTTTTATCTTTCATTCTGCGAGGGCACCGGATACTCGCTGCATCCATCACCGGTGAATCTGTAACATCGAAAAACATTTGTGAGAAAAATTTCCAGTGCAGACGGACGAGACAAAATTTAACTGTAGATTTTAATTTCTTATTCATTTTTAATATCTCATTTAATAGGAACTCCTTCACCTAGTGCTCCATCTTCCCCGAGAGCAATCCCATGACCTGAAATTTCTTTGCGTTTAAAAAGTCACTGGTGGAAGTTCTAGGAGAATAAAAAAAAAGTATTGATTGAGTGAAAAGTGTTCGGTTGTTCAGAGTTTTTTTTTTTCAACCCCGAGATAAGATGGGAAAAGCTTTTACCAGGGGACGTACTCCAGTGGAAAGTTTGAGAGGCCTTTGGTATAATGTAGAGGACAATAGATGACTTTTGTCCTGAAGGTTGAGAAGCTGGATTCGATGTGTCAATTCGATATGTCAGTCCATCGATTAGGCAGACGGGTGTAAAGACGAGATTTCCAAATTTCTGATTCAACACTAATTAATTCTCCTGATAACCGTCAATTCATCAAAAAGGAGAATTAATTTTCGAGAGATGCGTTGTCACAGCTCAGTGATAAAAACCATCGCACCCTCTTTTTTTGTGTGCATCCCTTCAATTTCCCTCACGCGAGGGTGAACACACGGCCTCCTGTCACGCACCCCTCTTCCACACCTTTTTCCTCTTCTCCCATATTGAGTAATTAAACGAATTAAACAATGGGAACTGATGAACGTACTGGTGATAATCGGATTAATTGAAAATGGAAGCACTTGCAATGGTATTTGCAAATAAACTGGCCCATCAATTCAAAATCAATTTCATATTATAAATTAATAATATCTATAATATAATAAATAAAATAATAATTCATTATATAATTAATGATTCGCATTATTAAAGATTAAGTAATAATAATTAATATCCTGAGTTCTAGTGATTTTGGACAATCAAAAAAAAAAGTTTTGTAGTGAAATGATCGGAAAAATTATTTTTCCAGTAAATGCAGTTGTTGTGATACGAGGGAAATGATTGAAGTGTTATCAGGGCCCCTAAAATCTCCAGTGAAAATGGAATTTCCCGTGAAATGTGATTTCCCTCTGATTGTCAGAGGCGACGAGTGCAAACTCTCCGCTGATGATGCGCCATTGTCCTAGAGCTGATGGACCAGTGGCTAAACTGGCGTTTGTCCATTCTGGTTTTGTTAGATAACGTTCTCCATCGAGGGGATCATACACTTGACCATCAAGTGCATGCCAGTCCTCCGTGGATTATTGACGGCGAAGGGTTGCACACCCACGACTCAGTGGCAATTCCACCCTTGACTTGGGATTCATTCTGCCAGACCCATACCACTGAGGATCAGGCAAATGGAGATGCATCGAAATGTCATGTATATACATGATGTAGCGGGAGTGGCTGGTGTATTTGGTGGAGAGTCAAAGCCTTGTTAGTGTCCAGTACCATTCGACAAATGGGTGGGTGGGTGATTTGGGTGGGAGGGGTCCAGTGCATCTGGCGGGGTGAATGCGTCCAGGGAGAAACTACCCTGCAATTTATTGTGGTCAGGGGCTAACTCAATCTTCAAACCCTTTGAGCAATTCCAATTTTCATTTTTATTTTTATTTTCTCATCGTAATCTCGTGAGTTCAACCCACCAGATTCTATTTTCATTACTATTTTTATTTTTATTATTATTATTTCAGAAAAACCCGAGTTTTTTTTTGGAGAGGGGAATATTATTCTTTTATTTCGTTTTTGTGGGTTTAATTTATATTTTTTTATCATTTTGGAATAGGGGAGACGGGATTTTTTGTTTAAATAAATAATTAATTGGGGGGAATGGTTTAAAAAGGGGTTTGGTGAGGGATGAATTAGGGAATGGGAGATTTTCTCATCATAATCTTGTGACTTCATCCCGCCGAATTCAATTTTAAATATAATTTTTATTTATATAATTTTTTCATTTCGTTTTTTTTGGTTTAATTTATATTTTTTTATCATTTTAGAATAGGGGAGACGGGATTTGTTGTTTAAATAAATAATTAATTGGGGGGAATGGTTTAAAAAGGGGTTTATTCAGGGATGAATCGATGAATGAGAGATTTTCCGAGTTCATTTGACACCTCATCATCCCCCAGAAGATGACGAGGGGTGAAAGTAAATCAAATAGATTCTCGTACCACCCATTCACCCACTGGCCCGTCGTCTTTATTTCCGGGATGAGAATTCCGCGAGGGTGACGTCCATGGACTCTCTCGTACCCAAAATCTCAGAGGCCATCCACCACCATAATTTCCGTCCAATTTTAATCCTCCGCACGTGCAAGACGATGAAAATCCCGACTAAAAAAGGAAAACTAAGACGGGATTTACGATCCCCCGTAATAACCAGATGGATTTTTACTTCGAGAACAAGATTAACCGATCCCTTGGCAATTTTTACCCTCAATATAAATTAAAATACCACGGATTATCATCACTTCTATAATAATTTTTCATTGTCCCATTTTATTTTCTGAATCCGGAAAAATAATTGGCGTCACAACTCGCAGACTTTTTTTATGGAAATATAACAATTGTCAAATGGTCAGGGGAATAATCGGGAATATTCTGTCCAGTGAAAGCAGTAGTGCGGGAGTGCGTGAGAAGGGGTGAAAGTGAAATTGAAATTGAAATAAAATTGAAATCAGGAAGATGAAATAAATTATTTCATTATAAAATTAAATTAAATATTTTAAATATTTTCATACGATATCCGAGAAATTTGAGAAATTTATAATACTGTCTTCAAATTATTAATAATTAATTGAATTAAATTTCATTGAACTCCAGACCTTTCAAAATTATTTTAATATCACATCATTATATTATTATTTATATATTATATATTATTTATTATATATTATATTTTTTCATCGATTATCCGTCCGCGCAGATATTTTTATTGCACTTCTGTATTATTTATATATTATTATATATTATTATTTACTGGAAATCGCGATGACTCGCAGTCTCCGGATGTCCATTTAATCCCAGAATTTCCCGGTGAATTTAACAGCTCATTAAAAAAATTTTCATCCCCCAAACGCATCCCCCATTTATTTGTCTTCCACAAGGTGTCTCATCACGACTGAAAAATCCCGTAAATAATCTCTCGCGAAATTTATTTATTTCCGGAAAATGAAATTGCGCCCTAAATAGCCCTCGTAAATTAATTTATTTCTCTTTATGCAAGGAGACTTCCCTCCGGCCGTTTTTTTGTTATTAAAAATAATCTCATAACAGATTATTACTCATGAAAATGAATGAAGCTAAATTTCAGGGGTTGTGAGGGTAAAATGAGGTGTCGGAATGTTTTTTTTTTTAGTAAAATTCCAGCTAAATGGCCTGAGGTAGCGGGGAGTTGTGAAAAGATAGTCTCTGTTGGTGAAATACATGCACAATAAAGCCCAACCCTCTCAAGGAGGGGTTGCAACCCTCCGACATTATTTTTTGTCTCATGATTTTTTTTTTCCCCACCCCTCAGTAAATCATACAAGTGATACTGACCCAGAGGAGTCAGAGGAGTTGCGATTTGTCTTGTCGTTATCTTTTTATAAATAATCTCAGCATCAAATATTGACGTTCACCGACTCGAGGAGGGATTCATTGCAAATGCGGATCAGGGGGGAGAATCTGTCGAGGAGTTTTTGGCAGAGGGTGAAAAACCTCCCTCATCCCCCAGAAAGAGGAAAAGCCTGTTAAACGTCTGGAGAGACGCCAGGATGTTGTATTACTGTGGCTCTTGTCCAGAATATTTTTCGTGTTTGAAATTCCAACGGTGCACGCTTGACATAACGTTTGCATTTTCATGAAAATATGAATTTTAATAAATAAAAAACCGTCGGAGTATGCGCAACCCCCAAGATTAATTTCCTGCCCACGGAATTTTTTTATTCGCAACAATTCGTATTTTATAAAATTAAAAAACTCCATCTCCTCCCGCGGATGTAAACATCATCTCCAAGGAGTTCACTCCCATCATCAATACTTCGATTAATAATTTGAGTGCTTCAGGGTAACCCAGAGAAACCTCAAACCCTGAATGTTAAAAAGGCAATGGTGCATTGTCTCGTCGAGACAATCTCACTGTCAGAAGAAAAATCCACATAAATACTGAAACAAAAAGTGGAGAGAGATAAAAAGAGAAGAAAGAGAAAATAGGGGATGGAGCCCTCGGAAAGCGATGATTGTGGTTTAAAATGGGCGAAGCCCCTTGAAACAGCGAAAAGAACAAAATAGTAAAAAATAACAGGTAAAGGGTGAGAGGGTGGGTAGAAAAAAAATGGGAAAATGGGAAAAAGAAATATTCCACTCGGCACTTGTTAAAATGGTGCTTCGTTAGAGCAAGCACCTTTACCACCGAACAATTCACTCTGTCCCACTCTTCGTTCCTTTTCCTCATCCTCAGGGTAATACCCATCCCCATTTTCCTCATGTACTTCTATCAGGGTTAGTCTCTCACTTGGGAGTGTCCAAATAATACAAAACCAGAATGGTGTGTCGAAGTGTCTGCACGTGTGGCAATAGCACAGAGTCATTTCCCATTGTTGCAACGAAAATGGAGTTTTCCAGGGTAATGGGAAAAAGCTGAGGAAAATGGCAACATCTACCAGACATAACTATTAATTTACCGATGTATTCTTGCATCATGGGGTGAAGGAGTGGTGTTTCCGGGGGAAACAGAAGTCATTTGGGGGGTGTAATGGCGTTAATGTCTCGGAACTCGAGGAGAAAATTTCTATTTTATTTCAAAGTTGGAGAAGGGGAGTGTCAAAATATAGAATGGAAACAGACGATGTCAAGTGTTGTTTAATATCCGGTAATAGTTACTCTTCACCTGGGGAAGACGGGGAAGACGGGGTAGATGGGGTAGATGGGGTAGATGGGGTAGATGGGGTAGACGGAATCCTAGAGAATCCGAGAGAACCAACGGATGGGGATAAAATGTATTCCTCAGCCTCTGAGAATATTGGCAGGAGCTATC